TTTAGAAGTCATACTTGCATGCTATTTTATTCTAAGTAGCATGATAAACAATATAGTTACCGTGTCACTGCTCAAAAAATGTGCCGCTGGAAGCGCAACCACTGTTTAAAACCCAAGCAGTTGGCGGTTCATTCCGCTACGGCGACCCCTAATGGATCAAGGGACTACGCCGAAGGAAATGAAATAAAATTAAATTTTTAAAGCATCGAAAAAATAAATACATTAATATTTATACTGTTATTACACTAACATATTGATGTTATATACTGATATTAATGAATTAAAAATTCATGTTATAGTCTTTCTTTCTCTGTCGGATCTGAAACTGCACAGCTAAGCTTTCGGACAGGCTACATTAACACTAATGAAGGCAAATATTTCCAGTCGCACAAGCCCTAAATATACAGCACTCCCAAAGCGTGCGGAGTCTCCGCGTTGACGCGATTACCTAATCGTCTGACACACAATCCGACAGATCGATGTAGATGTTATCCACAAGTTCAGCACTTAATACTGCAAACCAGCCCCATCATTCACATGCACAACATCCATGACACGCAAACACAATTGCGGTAAAGTTGGTTTTATATTCGCACATTTAGACAGAATCATATTGAGCAGACAATGACACACCTACAATGTTCACAGTCAATGAAATAGCGCTAATGTTGTTTAGAAGTCATACTTGCATGCTATTTTATTCTAAGTAGCGTGTTAAACATTATAGTTACCGTGTCACTGCTCAAAAATGTGCCGCTGGAAGCGCATCCACTGTTTAAGTAGTTGGCGGTTCATTCCGCTACGGCGATCCTTAATGGATCAAGGGAGTACGCCGAAGGAAAATGAATGAATGAGTTCAGAAATGAACGAATGTGCGCATATAAAACTTTACCTCAATGCAAAATCACAAAACTGTTCCTACCAGCTATGACAGTAGGAGAGCGCTGGCCACCCTCAGCCTTGACCCACATCTGGAGGGTGAAATTGCCCTTTGGTATCTCCACTCCAGGCTTGAGTCTCAGCTGGTCTCCCCTGCCCGTAAAATACACGGCTTTCCCCCGGGAAGAGCTCGCATCCTCGGTTGGAGAGGAGCGCCGGCGCTGGCGGGGGATACGGCGGTCCATCCCCGGCAGGGAGCGCTTGCCCCGGGGCAGCCTGGTGCCACAAGCCCCCGGGAAAACCAGCTTGGCTTCTCTGATCTTCACCAGCTCGCGTTTGGATCGGGTGTTTCTCAGGACCGTCCCGCACTCCGATCCCACGCACAGGAGGACGAGCAGGATGGCGAGACACTGGAGAAAAGTCCAAACTTTCATTTTTATCCAAGAACACAGGAGGTGGAAGTCCCGGAGAATGAAAACGCGCGCACGGACGCGCCACACCAGCTCCAAACAAACAAGAAAAGTCCTTCCACTTGTTTTCTGCTCCTTCCCAATCGCTTGTCAAAGACGAATGTTCCAGACAGCACACAAATAAGCCATGGAGCTTATTATCATTACGCGTCTTCTGCGCGAGACTGAGTTTTTTCTGGATGCTTTAATTCATTGATTCGACAAGTAATCGATTAATCAAGATCTTCACTGACACCCGGCGCATATCTGTCCTTCTCCACACGCAAAGAACACACTGTTTTAGTGAATGCAGAAGGCGTCCGAGCATGACAGGCTGCCTGTCATGTGTGTGTGTGGAGCGCGTTCAGAAGTTGCATTGGCGCGAGGAGTTGAAGTGAGCGGAGCATCGCGGGTTCTCCTCGTGCGCGAGTGTTTGTGTGTGTGAGAGCTCCGCTGGAGATCCTTCAGGCTTTAAAGAGTGAGAAAGTGATGGAAGCAGAGCACAGCAGTTTTTTTTTTTTGCGCCCGCCGATCCTGCCTTCGTTGTGCTGAAGTCACAGGTCTGACGAGGAGGTTTCTACACATGCTCTCCAAGTGTTGGACAGTGTTTCCAGAAGTGGGAAGGGGTGTGTGTGTGTGCGTGTGCGTGCGTATAGTGTGTGTATCCCTCTAGTGGCAATTCAAACCATTTCATTCATCGGAAAGTTTTTACAGTAGCGCAGACGTCACTTGTTAAAGTTGTCTTTATTTCAATTTGTTTGTTTAAATACTTTGAGTAAAACTAGATTTATTATTTTTTTATTATTTTATATATTTTATTTAGCATTGACTATTTTATTATTTATTTATTTTTTGTTGTTTAACTTTTTTTTTTTTTTTAGATATGCAAGTTATACACTAACCGGCCACTTTATTAGGTACACCTTACTAGTAGCTGGTTGAACCCCTTTTTGCCTTTAGAACTGCCCTGATCTTTTGTGGCAGAGATTCAACAAGGTACTGGAAATATTCCTCAGAGATTTTGCTCCATATTGGCATGATAGCGTCACGCAGTTGCTGCAGATTTGTCGGCTGCACATCCATGATTCCAATCTCCTGTTCCACCACATCCCAAAGGTGCTCTATTGGATTGAACTCTGGTGACTGTGGAGGCCATTTGAGTACAGTGAACTCGTTGTCATGTTCAAGAAGCCAGTCTGAGATGATTGGCGCTTTATGAGATGGCGCGTTATCCTGCTGGAAGTAGCCATCAGAAGATTAGTACACTGTGGTCATAAAGGGATGGACATGGTCAGCAGCAATACTCAGGTAGGCTGTGGCATTGACACGATGCTCAATTGGTACTAATGAGCCCAAAGTGTGTCAAGAAAATCTCCCCCACACCATTACACCACAGGCTGAACCGTTGATACAAGGCAGGATGGATCCATGCTTTCATGTTGTTGATGCCAAATTCTGACCCGACCATCCGAGTTTGGCAGCAGAAATGGAGACTCATCAGAGCGGGCAAAGTTTCTCCAATCTTATGGGTATGTATGGTGTTGCTGGGGCACTTCAGATCATTATGGGAAGGCACTTTCTATCCAACACTAAAAAGGGCATGTGCACTGCACAGGTTGAACCCTTTGTGTGCATGTGCCTGCCAACACTCATACACTACAGACAATTTAGCTTACCCAATTCATCTGTATTGCATGTCTTTGGACTGTGGGGGAAACCGGAGCACCCAGAGGAAACGCAGGGAGAATATGCAAACTCCACACAGAAACGGCAACTGAGCTGAGGGTCGAACCAGTGACCCAGCGACCTTCTTGCTGTGAGGCGACAGCACTACCTACTGCGCCATTGCTTAGCCATATATATATATATATATATATATATATATATAGACATGTCAATGATTCTTGATTTAAAAACTTTTAGATATTTGGAGTACAAACAAGACAAAAATATAAGTAAAGGCATTTATGTTTTTATTATAATTTTTGCAGCGTATATAACCCAAAAAGATGACTTTTTCTGCTACTTTTGAAACAACACAACTCTTAAGTTATTTTGGAACAGTTTATGTTCAATCCACTTAAATTTCCAACAACAATTAAGTTCGCTTAATGCATTTATGTTGGGACGACATGCAAGAAATGTGTGGAAGCCAGCGTTTTCTTACAGTGCTCCAGAAACAGCCCGAGAAAGACAAAGAGCAGGAATTTGAGCTATTTTGCATGAAAATGTCGCCCTTTATTTCCTCCGTCTTTGAGGTGGTCCACCTTTTGTCCACCACAATAAGCACTAATTCCTCAATACTTTATCACATACTGGACTGCCATCAGTCAGTGTGCATGCAGTCTTGAAAAGAGCAGAATATACTGCAAAATAAAAGATTTTCCTTCTT